ACAAACAACTTTCTTTGTTTTACAATCCTAGGATATTGACAATTCAAAGTACAAATTTATCATTTGCTAGCCACTCACTAATTTTGTATTGTGAAATATCAAACATATATCACTGTAAAACATAACCAACAAAAGCATCATAGACAATATCAAAACTAAACCATAGGTCTAATTTCTCTTTCATTTGAAGCATTTTGAGGCTTCTTGAATTCAACCTTTATTCTTTTGTTATGTTTACAGTTAAAAATAGAATACAAGTATCTTGGCAGACTAACCCCAAGGGGTTGGCCTAGTGGTCAAGACCTGAGCCTAGGGTGTGCTCCCTTCAAAATCTACTAAGTGCAAACAATTTCTCGAGACCAGTTCATATGGGACTTTGCCCGACCCCCCACTAGTGGATGTGGGATTGGTCTTCCGGAGTAGTCGGTCTAGTGGGCCAGATTCTAAGTTATCAAAAAAAAAAAAAAACCTAATCAATTGGCTCAAGGACAGAATATCAACATGCATCTACAGCAGCAGTACAACAGCAAACTTCGTTATAGTGTGGCAATCAAATAAACCATATAATTATATAGCTGCCAAACCCCTTATAAAACCACAATATGATATATTTTGATAAGATCTATTTCTAACACAAACAACAGTAGGCTTTAGTTTATATTCCAAATCATCATCTTTATTTATCTTTACCAAGTCATTACTGAACCTTTTAGCAACTAAGAAAACTACAGACAAAGCATAAATATTATCAGCCACTGGATATTCCAAATATACTGTAATTTTGCTCCCCCAAAAAAATATTAGGTGAAGGGAGAGAGAGCGAGAGAGAGAGAGAACAATGGGGACAGCTAAAACAAAATCCAATAGTTCGTACACCCCCGTCCTAATGCCTTGGCATTTACATTCTGATGTTTTTAATTCTTACTTGATGGACACTACATTATGCCCATGAGTTAAGCTTAGTGCATTAAATCTACATATTTTTATGAGAGGAATGAAGAATGAGAAAGCAGCATCTTACAATACAAGTGTGTTTTCTTGATGGATGAATATCAATGGAGTGTACAATCCCAGAAGTAGTTCCATGAGCCCTGCAACATTATTAATATGAAGAATCACATCACATCACAACAAAAACAAATTGCTTCTACTCAGATGGACGGAGTTGAACCCAACCGTCAAAATATGCAGTTAAGATAATGCAAACAGAACAAAAATAAACACTGAATTTAGAAGAATAATAGAAACACATCTAAGAAAATGACTAATACTACTTAAGAATATATTAAGCTTCAAGAAATTCCTACATTGGTGTGTTCAAATTATCAACAAATTATGAACTGCTCCAGTTTTCAAAATAATGGATCTATTGCCATGTGCAAATGGCTTAATTAAAAGGTCTATCAAGAAGCTAAAGAAGTCATTAGAACCTACAATAATTTGAGTAAAATGCAGAAACAATGTCAATAACATCAAAACTGAAAGTCAAAAAGTGATGAAGCAAGCTTTATATATGTAAATCTAAATATGGTCAAGCACTGCTCCAGTTTGCAAAAATATTATCTAGTTCAAAAAATTTCACACAATAAAATCTTTTCCATTTCACATATGTAGGTTTTTGCATAGTAATGGTAAAATCTTTACCATTACTATACAGATAAAAAAATTTGCATGCAAATTTCACACACTACGGCCTTTACACCCCGCAACCGCAACTGCGTCACCGCCACCATTACGGCGACTGCAACCGCTTGTCAGAACCTTGAGTAAGACAAATGAAGCAAAAACCTACATATGTTAATTTGCATGCGAAATAACCACAAGTATTTGTAACCTAAATTCCATGGTTCTCTCTCTTCATCTAAGGTAGGCAAGTACATTGTGCACAATATTCTCCAAAAGATTAGTTAAGTTGAAAAATCAAAATAGATCCACCTAGTATAATTAAGTGCTTCCCACAATATGGTGACAAGAAAGTGCAGCCACCTTTTGCATACATACTTGAAATAAGATCCTTTTTGCCACCTTCAGCTGCCAAACGATACCATTGAATTGAACATCCCGAAAGTTCTGGAGCACTATCAGAGCAAGGTTGAATCCTTAAATATGAACCCAAAGCTTCAGAACCATCTAATTCATATGAGTGAGCCAAGTTTTCCTCACCCCTCCTGCTCTTTGCCAGCTGAAAACGTCATGGAAATTAGAGTGCAATATTTTAATCACAAAACATCCATATCTCCACATCTCTGCATCATCGAATATGGTCTAAAAATGCAGAAAATATGAATTACAAGCATAACAGAAGTTTTTACTGGTTGGATTTGGCTTACACTTCCTATCACTATAACAATAAAAGATTCAGAGAGAGAGAAAGAGGAGCAGATGACTATCCATACCACGATTTAAAAATAAATAAAACAAAACAAAACAAAGGTGAAATATAAAATTAAGATTAAAATGTGAATATATATATACATGAAACATGGACCGTTTCAATACTCAAAAGATCAAGTGGATCCATGTGAAATTTTAGCTTGACCAATCCATGTATAACCTAAACTCCTTGGTCGATGAGGTTGTTCTAGTTTACTAAACAAAAAAGAACACGAGATCCAGAGGATGCAATGGCTAGGTTGGTCTCAATAAAGCAGAAGTCTGTTTAATGAGGAAAAAAGAGATACTCTGTACATGGTAAACAGGTTCCAGAGAAGTGAACCAGTACTCCACAGCCTGCATTGATTAAAAGAGTAGATAGGCAAGGTTCAAGGTGAATCTTCGCATTTTGGTTTGAAGCATAGGATCCCAGAATTTAAGCTATGCAGGTCTAGGACGTTGTCATTAGAATTTTGTCCTTCAAATAATATAAATAATTCTGAACATGAGGAAATATTTGTTTAATTTCTTCAAGGTGTGGTGGCAATTTCCAACCCTATGTAACAAATCCAATTCTAGACAGATATTGTATTGCACTATATTAGTTATATTAGCATAAGTTTAACCTGAATCCATTTCTAAGTAAATCCTACCAATCATTCAGTTTATAATATGAGCCTACCAACTTGAGGGGTTTATAGAAAAACTCCACTAATACAATTCAACATGCTGTTTAAGAAGCTAAAGTGAGGTTCTTAAACCTCATGGGCCCCCGATGCTAGAATTGAAACAACTCATTCCCATTCCCACCCCCACCCCAGATTCAAGGACCTCAACACTCAAAAATTGTCAGAAGTGCAATTCTTTGCCCTGTAAACATATGTACTTAGCTTGCTTCAAGATCTTAGACTATATTTTCAGCACAAATTACTTGGGGAACCTTTAAACAAGCTAACCAACCTATGAAACCAAGGCAAAAGAGCAGGACAATAACTACATCAAGAGAAAAAGAAATAGATCTACATAAAATTTTAAGAGTTGATGCAGCAACTTAATATTGGGAAAACAGTTCATGCAGCTAAACACTAATCTCAACTTCTGATACTTGGGGGCCATTGAAAAAAGAATAACATAAAGAACCACCCACACATCAAGCATACATGAACAGACATTGATTGATCATACAAAGAAATCAACAAAAGTTAACAAGAGAGAGAGAGACGAAGAAACGAACAAACCTCTTTCTGAAGCAGAAGAGAATGTTTAGATTTCTCAGCAAGCTGAAGTCTCAATGCTTGAAGCTCATGCTCCATGTCCATAACCTACAAATTTTTATGTTTAATTCACTTATGCAATAGAAGTAACTATATCCAAAAACAAAACTAAATGTTTGAATTGTAAAGAACATTACTATGAACCCAAACAAGCTAAATTATCTACTAATAAAAACAAAAACAAAAAATTAAATTAAATTATATTTACATTGCAGCGCAATGAGAACAATGCTGAGAGCAAATACAATGTAAAAGGAGCCTAGTTTAATTCATTAGAACTAATACAGCATACGTGCATAACAAGAACGTTTACCTAATTAGGCACTAACAGGAAAGTGGCATGGTTGCTTGTATTTAGTCAAGTTTTAGTGATACAGAGTATAAAAAGCTCAAGGAAGGCTAAATTCAAAGAAGTAAAGATATTTGGACATTGGCATGATTTCAAAGAGAAGCCAATAGGAACCTTATATAATTATGTTTCTAATGTTATTAGTATTATTTTACAATTATTTTTATGTTTTCTAGGATTTTTAGATCAGGGATATTTTGGTAATTTTCATATTTGCTAACAAGGCTATAGGGGTCGCCCATGGGTTGTCTTGAGGGTCAAGTTATTTAATTGATTTTTATTTATGTTTCTTATTTGGTCTTAAATTGGTTTTGAAAGCCGAGATATTTTTAAAATATTCTTTTTTTTGTTCTAGTTGAAATATTTCCAAAATCTATATAAAGCCATGTAATACTTCGAATTTAATAGAGTGGATATTTTATAGAATTTTTAGAGCTTTGAAGCCTCTTTGGTTTTGTGTGATGCAATGCTTAACCCTAGGTATGATGCCTAAGGCCTTTAATCTCAATGCTTGAAGCTCATGCTCCATGTCCATAACCTACAAATTTTTATGTTTAATTCACTTATGCAATAGAAGTAACTATATCCAAAAACAAAACTAAATGTTTGAATTGTAAAGAACATTACTATGAACCCAAACAAGCTAAATTATCTACTAATAAAAACAAAAACAAAAAATTAAATTAAATTATATTTACATTGCAGCGCAATGAGAACAATGCTGACAGCAAATACAATGTAAAAGGAGCCTAGTTTAATTCATTAGAACTAATATAGCATATGTGCATAACAAGAACATTTACCTAATTAGGCATTAACAAGAAAGTGGCATGGTTGCTTGTATTTAGTCAAGTTTTAGTGATACAGAGTATAAAAAGCTCAAGGAAGGCTAAATTCAAAGAAGTAAAGATATTTGGACATTGGCATGATTTCAAAGAGAAGCCGATAGGAACCTTATATAATTATGTTTCTAATAGTATTAGTATTATTTTACAATTATTTTTATGTTTTCTAGGATTTTTAGATCAGGGATATTTTGGTAATTTTCATATTTGCTAACAGGGCTGTAGGGGTCGCTCATGAGTTATCTTGCGGGTCAAGTTATTTAATTGGTTTTTATTTATGTTTCTTATTTGGTCTTAAATTGGTTTTGGAAGTCGAGATATTTTTAAAATTTTCTTTTTTTTGTTCTAGTTGAAATATTTCCAAAGTCTATATAAAGCCATGTAATACTTCTAATTTAATAGAGTTGATATTTTATAGAATTTTTAGAGCTTTGAAGCCTCTTTGGGTTTGTGTGATGCAATGCTTAACCCTAGGTATGATGCCTAAGGTCTCTAGGACTAATTTCTAGAACTATCTTCTTCTTTCCCTTCCTTTCTTTCTTAAATTTCAGTGTTTTCACAGCCCAAGAACAGCCTAACAACGCTGTCCTACATCATCCTACTATCCCTTTCAAAAAAAACTACACTTGCGAACAGGACATCTCTTTAAACAGCAGCCTTCATTATCTTTTGCAAGACCATAATTTTCTCAGCTCATATTATTCAACTCATCCATATAATAAGTCATTGTCCAAAATATATGAAACTCTTTATGTTTCCAAGAACACATATTTTATAAAATTAGGACCATACCCATAACCTGAATCAGCTTATTTACAGCAGTCAGAAACCAACCTAAAATAATGGTCTTCTTTCTTTTCTTACAACACTGGAATATTTTAAATCAGAGAGAAAGATGTACTAGTGTTCTGCTTGCTTGGAAGTGCCCAAAGCTAGCAGCAATTTCTTTATCATATTGTTGGTTTTCTTCATGGAGAAAACTGAAGAAAACTTGACTTATTTCATAGGATATTTTTTAAAAGTTAAAAATACAACTTTATTCCTGCAACTATTACATTCTTGTAAAGTTTCTTGTTTCAGGAAACATGCTGCAATCCCTTTCTTATTGTATCATTGTCAATAAGAAAACCATAGACTTGAACCTGCATCTTTTTAGTAATGAAACATGCTGCAATCCCTTTCTTATTGTATCATTGTCAATAAGAAAACCATAGACTTGAACCTGCATCTTTTTAGTAATTTAAATCAAACAGTTGCCATTTATACTAGAGAAGTAAAAGTTTCTTGTTTCAGGAAACAGTTGCCATTTATACTAGTTCTAAATACCAAATGTATTTGAATGCTTTCAAATGGAAAAGACATGTCCATTGCGCTTTAGTCCTTTAAGTTTCAACCGAACCTTAAAAAGTCACTTCAATGACATTGACATCATCTTCCTTTGAAACGGTTCACAGCTAATATTATTGTCGCCATCAGAATACATTTTTCCCCACCATCTCACTATACCATGCATGAAACTTACTCCAGAGATCAAGTTTAAACCAAAAATTAATTGAACAGTTTCCAATGTACAAATGGAAACAGTATCATTTTGGCTGAGTAAAACTTAAAATCCAAGAGTACATGGCCCTCTGAAGAAACTGAAAATATGGTACTGGAACATTTTAATGTCATATTAGTAGCTGAATCTCAAAATTGAAAAAAAAAATAAATAAATTAGGATTAAAATCACCTTTAACTAAGCATCTTCAGCATTCAATGTCGAGTCAAACTTCTCCAACTAAAACAAGGGAAATTTAGCCGACCCCTCCATTGGACCCTTGATTGATGAAAAGGACAACCAATTTATTTTGCTTCATAAACCCCCTAGGGAGAAGGCCCATAATTGAGTAAGGACAAAGTAAAATATCTTTTTTTTTTCTTGGACAACATTACTGGAGTAACATGTTAATGTGAACCAGAGTAACATGTTACTATGAGACAGAGTAACATGTTACTGTCAACATCAATTTCGACAATAATAATATTTTTTTTTTTTTTTAAGAGTTTCATAGTCAACATGGATCTTATTTGAAAAAACTTGATAAGAGATTCTAAAAATACTAATTTTATTAAAAACCGACATCTAAATCAAAAGTTATAATATTTTAAAGTTTAATATTTTGGTAATAGTGGTATGTGTTGGACTTTTCAAGAAAAACTTTTTGCACTTGTCCTTAAAGTATTAAAGTTTTATTATGAGGGAGCTTTGACCAAATCCCCCCTAAAACAATTTAATCCATTTTAATATATTTTCAGTTAAGTGGTAGTCAGCAAATGCACTTACTATAAGATCAAATAACACATGCCTTCCCTATTTAGAAATTTATTTATACACATACATAAAATGAACGTGAAACATTGGCAGGATTAATTTCAATAAACAAGAAGAAAGGGTCCACAAAGTAGACTAAACTCTTTAATACTTGGAATTATTTACTAGGATAGTTCCATGAATCAGTGTTAGGAACCAGTGTACATACCTTGCTAGGCTGATGCAACATTTTGATGCGTCTAGCCTCTTGAACCTCCTTCATCAATTCTTCCAAATCCTAAATATTTAACACAAAATGTCTAAGTTGGGAAATAAAGACATTAGCATAACATAAAGTAGTTTCCCAAACAAAAGCCCCTAATCAGAATAAAAGTTCAGATTGTTTGTGCAATTTTCTTCTCTACCAAAGTAGACTACAAATATTCTATTGGATTGCAACAACTTCTTTATTTGCAACATTTTTAATTGAAAATAACTTCTAGCAAATTATGATAAAAAAAACAAAAAAACAACGCCCAAATTGTACACATTAATGTGTGTTTGGGAGGGAAAAGATTGGGTACAAACCTAACCTTTGGCATAGTGCACAAAGTGGCTGCCCTGAGACTTGAACCCATAACCTCAAGGTTCTAGCAAATTATGATGCGAAAAATATATATATTTATATATTTGTATGATGCCCAATTATGTAGCAACTCACATTGGTGTGAGTGATTCATGATATTCAACAAATATCTACCTTTCAGCTCCTTTGACTAGGAGGAGGAGGAGGAGGAAGAAGAAGAAAAGGATAAGGAGAAGGATGCAAAGAAGAAGGAGAAAAAGAATGAGAAGAAGAAGAAGAAACCCAAAATGGACGGAAGAAAGGAAGAAAATACATCCAAAAAGAAGGAAGGAAGAAAAGAAAACAAGGAGGGCTTCCTCTACAACTGATTACCACAAAGTTGGTGTGATTGATCTTCTCCTAAAATTGTCTTTCTGAAAGTTTCCCTAAGCGATAAAATTTCCAAGCAAATCATTCAGAAAAACACAGCTTAGGCAATATATATAGCCACATCAAAATGCATGATTCGGTGTAAACTTTGAACAATAAGTTCAAGTAAGTCATATTTACCTGTTTCCCTGAAGCGCGGGACATATGTTCTTGTTCCTGAAGCGCCACTTCCACTCTTTGAACTGCTGCCCTGGCATTCTCAATTTCTGCCCGAGCAAAAGCTCTTTCTTCATCAACATGTTTCTTAGCATCTTCTGAAGCCTACAGGTGTATTCAGAAAGAAACAAAGGACGAGTTTCATGTGTATTAAAAGTTTTGTACGGGAGAAAATAAAAATAAAAATCAGAAGAGAAGAGAAGACAACAAAACCAATAGAACATAAAAATAATGAATTAAATTGAGTTGCAGAATAAGAGTAATTAAAGATAAAATGTAATCACAGTAACAACAATGAATTAAGAGTAATTAAAGAAGAAACTATTAAGTAGAACCTTGAATACCAAGTAGAAGGAAGGTTAACATGAAATCTAGATCATTTTGCATGAACAATTTGAGTTCTTTACTCTTAGCAAACAAGATAGGATAATGTTGCATTGTCATAGAAATGTGGAATGTATGCATCATTAGAGTTTAGCACTAACAAAAAGAGGATGAGGGAAGAGGCTTCTTTTTGTCTACTTGGTGTTGTATGTGTTGCAAAGATGAGGAATCATTTATTTCGTCACAATGAAGTGGTGAAGAGAGTTACAGAATTTACTTTTGTATATTTTTGGAGCTACCTAGGTCATGTCTGCAATGTTTTGAATGTTTTACTAGTCATGGGTAGGGGGTGCTCATCAAGAAGAGTCGTAAACGTTGGAAGGCAATGCATGTGATATGTATGGCAGGAAAAGAATAGGCACACCTTTGAAGAGAGATAAAGTTGTCAGTACATAGATTAAAGTCCATGTTGGCACAGTTTTCATTTTTGGCTTAAAGAAAATTTTTATGTATTGTCTTTTGCTCTTGTCGACTTTTTTGGAGAGCTTTCTTTTGAAGCCCCTTAGACTACACTATATACATTCAATGTACATGGGCTATGCTTCTGCGTCTTTTCAATATAATTAATTTACTTAACAAAAAAAAAAAAGATAAGGCATACCAATAATGAACATGTACCCTTATTTAATACCAAATGATAGACATACAAATAAAATAAATTTATTTAATTTTCTTTAAGCCCTACCCTGATTTATGAATCTTATCTTCCTTTTTCAAGCAAGAATCATAATAATGAACAGAACAATGCACATAGACAGTCCATAATGTGTGAAGCGCCCAAAAAGAACATGAAAGAGCATGCTGTAAAAAGATAGTATCGCCAGTTATTCTTACCACTGAACATGAACCAAAAGAAGCAAGAAAACATTCTAATATATTGCTAGAACATACTTTTGCTTGATTCTACACATATTATATGATTTATACATAGACACACTAAGAAGCACGGGCATGGACCCGTGACACAACATGAAAAATTTCAAAAAATGTAGAACACGAAACGTAAGGGACACTTGCAAAATATGTAATTTATATGTTATATATAAAGATAAATTATTATATCATAAATGTTAATATTTAAATCAAATATAATAATTTTTAAAGTTTAAAAAAGAATATAAATTTACATTATTTCTATTTTATCATTGAATTTCAAGTTATTTTATTCAAACTTGTATTGTTTCATGTGTGTCTAAGTGAAGTGTCCGATGAGTGTCGTGTCATGTCGGTGTCTGACACGTTGTCAAAAACAACATTTTATCTTCTTAGAAGTGTCTATTCTTTTTAGTAGTAGACACATTAGCTTATGCTTTCCCTATTTTGAAATAATGTGGATGCTTTTTACAGCTGGAGCACATGCATCCCAATGTCCCAAAAGTAAAAGTTTTATAGATCTATTCTTTTGCACAGCCATAAACCAACACCCAACTTTTCCATTTTACCTGCTTAAGAAAATTGGCGAGTCTTTTCACTTCTGCCTTCTCTTGAATTAGCTCTCCTTCCCTATGAGTCAACTGAACTGCTAAAGCTTCAACCTGGCGGATATAGCCAGAATTACAGCATACTAACTTAGAGAGAGAATAGCAATATTAGAGACAATAATAAACTCAAACCTTGATTTTATTATCCTACGGCATGCTCACTTAGAGAGAGCATAACAATATTAGTGACAATCATAAACTCAAACCTTGATTATATTACCCTCCAGCATGCTCACTTAGAGAGGGAGAGAGAGAGAGAGAGAGAGTATAGCAATATTAGAGATAATCATAAACTCAAACCTTGATCATATTATCCTAGCAGCCATTTTTAATGAAAAGTTATGATATGGAGACAAAATTGCAAATTTCATAATCCCACATAAGGAAAATAATCAGTACTTTTTCAATTACTGTATCAAAACTACTAGAAAAGAAAAGGAAACAAACAAGAAAATGGCCATAACAGAGTAAAAGGGCTAAGAAAAAAATATATCCCAGCAAACCATCTAATGATTCAAAAGGTTTTGGCTTTTAGCTAATCCAACAAATGAAATAGAAGACATATCATAGAAAAAGATTATTACATATGCTATGCTCAATGAATGGAAGGTGGATTTTGCTAAGAAAACCCGAGTGCCACCTTAATTGTAGTTGAATATTGATGTGGACCAACTTATTGTTGTAAATAGGCCTTACTTTAGCGGGTCCAAGTGTTCAGCCATCTCAACCTGAACAATGGACTGTCTAAGATGTGCATCATTTGGCTCTCCAGGGATCAAGCTAAGATGTCAAGGCCAAAGAGACTTCATCACAAGCCTAAAGCTTGGTTCAACATGTAACTTGCTCAACATTATGTCTGTATCATCTATAATATAATACTTCAAAAACAAATTAAGGACAGCAAGGCGCGAAAGGTTCGAGTGCTAACAAAAGCTCTTGGGTTCAACTGCTGGCATTTCCTTAGCCTAGCCAGTTCTGCTTTCCTATGTTAGCTGAACCAATGTGATAATGAGCATATCTCACGAGAACTGAGCAAACCACTTGATCATTCTTGGAAAATATCTAACTTCACTTTAAATAGCCAGGGGCATTTAGGAAAGAAAGAGTTTAAATAGACAAACTCGTATTTAGGTACGTAATCCATAAATGGATCTTATTGTTCTCCCTTGTAGACCTCATTTTGGAGTGTAAAATAAAAGCTTTCCAATCCAAAGAGAACATTGCTTCAGGAAATTTGAAAACAAACATATGTTACTACCTTTCAGTAGGTCACATCAAAGTCTCAAGAGTGGAAAACAAATCAAACTCTTGCTCTTTTGATGTGCCGTTCATTCCCTAACCCAGCGGCAAAACCAAGACTGTCATATTATAAATGCAATGGGATTTGCATCAGTGTAGAAGGAGATTTTACATTCTTTGGTTGCCTGTTTGAGCTTTCCTCCATTAATCTTTTCGGTTGTCTCCACTTTGTTAGAGGCCTTATCACCCTGTTTTCTTTTCTCTTCAATAAAATTTTAAGGTAGCTTGATGAGTTTGCCATTGCACCAGGTGTTGCACAGATTCCATTTGGTACTTTCAAGCTTTACTACAGAAGTCTTTTACTGAATTGTTTTCATTGCAAAGAACCATATTGGATGCTTATAATACTTTGCAAGTAAATCAGTCAAAAAGTTGAATGGCATGCAATGTTCACAAAGAACTGAATACTTTAGTAAGATTGAAGGGTAATATTTTCTTACACAAAAAAAATTGAAGGGTAATAACTTTTTCCCTCTCAAAAAACTTGTATAGTCAAATGCAATAGCAGTATTGTTTTACATGTGAAGTCATTCAATGATCAACTTTTCTATGGGACAAAGAAAGGAAGAAAGTGGAAAAAGAACTAACCATAGCAATAGCTTCTTCTACATCATCCTTATTTTTACCAGCCACACGGCCTCTTAAGGCTTCCAGTGCATCTCTAAGCTTCTTTAGAAGTACGTGTTTCTCCAAAGAAGCGGCGTCCCTGAGTCTAGCCTGTATTGGATGAATGAAAAGCATTTAAAACCACAAAAAATGGTCTTACATTATTACTGAAACTAAATGTGTTCAAGTTTTTAACCCAAGCTTAGAAGTTATCAAACCAAAGAAGCATCAATGGCTGACCCCTCAAAATGTTAAATTTGGTTCCACCTCTCATTAATGCTTCATTTGTTGGCTGAAAACTAGTAAGGGAAAAAAAAAAGTACGAAGATATATTTCAAATACCCATGTTATTTGGCAAGTGCTCAAATAGTCATACTTTTTTCAAACTTTTTTTATTTGTGATGATTTTTTTTTTATTCTTTTATTTTTCAAGTGCTATTTAGAAGGATCTAAAAACTAGAAAAGTCAAAAAATAAAAAAATTCACTAAAGTAAAAATAATAATAATAATTCAAACCCCACTAATCTTTTCCAATAACAAAAAGTAACTTTTTTAGTAGGGTAAATTACATTTTTCACCCTCCAACTTTCATTTGAATTTCACACTAGTCCCTCATTTTCTAATTGTAAGAATTGAATTCTCACACTTGAAAACCTATTTGATATACCAGTTTCCATAGATGCACGAACAAAACCACGCGACGAAACTTAAAAATAAACCCAAAAAGTTGGCAAAGCGAAACCTCATCAGACAACTTAGCTGCTGCAGCCAAACCCTTCTCAAATTTACTGGCAAGGTCGCGAACAGAGAGACGTTTCTGCTGTTCCAGCAACTGGGCAGTTTCTCGAGCAATGACCTCCTTCATGGCTAACACTTTGGGATCCTCCACCTCCACAATCTGGTTGTTAGCACCAATTTTATAAGTTGGAAACCGGCTAGTAGCAAATATCACATCTGCTGAGACTGGAGGAACTGCCTCCTTTTTCATTGAATCAGCAAAATCACGGCCTACCCTCGTCATGATACGAAATTTAGTTTCTGTCACCAACAAAAGCAGAAAAATAACCCACCATTCATGATGAGAACTGTCATAAATTTATTTACAAAATTTTAAGGCTTCATTTGGCAGAGGCTTAAAAGCCAACTTTTATTGGCTAAAAAAGTCCATTTTGCTATAAATAAATAAATTTAACTCCGGCCTCGTTTGGAAACAGGCTAATTTAGTAACTTTTTGACTATTTGGCTAAAATATGAGCTAAAAAAAACTAGTATGTTTGGGATGACTTTTTGGCTTTTTACGAAAAGATGTGCAAAAAGTAGAGAGAAAAGAGAATTTTTGACTTTTTGGTATTAGTTGTTAGCTTTTTGGCTAATTTAGTAACTTTTTGACTTTTTGACTAAAAAGGAAAGTTCAGGCCTCATTTGACAAGCCCATTTCTCATCAAAAAGCTTACTTTAAGCTGTTCTAAAAAGCCACTAGAAAAGCCAAAAAAGCTAGAAATGTGTCCCAAAAAAAAAAACAAGATTTTTAGCATTATTTTTTTGTAAACTTATTTTAAGCCAATAAACTAGCGTTTTACCTAACAGCCAAAGAAAGCCTAAGTTACCAAAACAAACTAATTTCCAGTATTGGTCAATGCTTACCAACCCAAATTACTAATAATTGAGCAACTAATCTGAAAATTGAAATTGAACAACTATGTCTATCAACAAACAAAGAGACCCCTAAAGGCAAGAAATAATTTTTCAGAGTAATTGACATGCTTAATCAAATGATCAATTAATACAATGAACGAAACATAATGATCATAGATACACAGAGAGGAATATTGAAAATCAACAAACATGAAAATTGAAGAGAACAAAAATAAATAAAAAATCACTATGCTGAATGATCAGAGCAGTGGTTCAAAACTAAATGCTAAAGAAGAAGGAAAAAAAAAACCCCAAACCCAAACCGTGAAAATACAAGGTATTGAAAGAAAGAAAGAAAGAACCAAAGATAGAAATGAGACCAAAAAATGAAAACAAAAAGGGTAAGACTGTACTCACAGATCACGTAATTAAGTACTAACAGACGAGATGAACAATGGCGAAGTTTGGTCTCGGTTGCAGGCAGACTTGAACGATGTTTTCTATAGAGAGAGAAGAGAGAGAGAGATTCTGAATAAATAGAGAGATAAAAGAAGGGGAAAGAGAATGGAGGTGTTTGGGTTGGCTTGGCTTGGTTTTACTTTTTAAAAGCAAAAGAAGGGCGAAGAAAAAGCCGCCTTAACGAAAACACACACTACTCTCGCTTTTGTCTATCTCTGTGTTAAATGTTAGTGACGTCGTTTTGTTGGGTACGCGTTTTGGGGTTAACAACAAAATCCTTAAAAATTCCGTGAAGTTGGCCCGCGTGGGGTCCGTGTGTACTTCATTTTCATCACTTTTTTAAACCTTATTGGAGGTAAACAACCAAATGGCCATAAATTGTGTCCTAATTTTGACCAAAATTCATTAAGCAATTAAAACAAATTAAGGCCAAGTTTGATATGTCTAAGGAAAGTCGAAAAGTCAAAAAGTTAAAAAGTTATTTAAAAGAGTAATGTTAGAGACTCCAAATATTCTACTAAAAGTTTTACCAAATGTCTCATATGGGTGTGGGACCCACACAATGTGGGTTCCATGTGGGTCTCACACCCATGTGAGACATTTAGTAAAACTTTTGGTAGAATTTTTGGGGCCTCTATTATTTTTGTATTCAAAAAGTTAAAAAGTTAACACTATTTACCAAAGTCAACAATTACGACTGCACAACTCCTGATCCTAAATTTCTCTTACAAACTAATTTTTACAATTTTTTATTACACATTTTTTCATAAAAAGTCAAAAAGTTAACCCAAACATCTATATTTTCTTCCTTAATTTTTTAGTCTAAAAAGACAAAAAGTACACTTATTTAAGACACCCTAAACAACCCCTAAAGGATCATTATGATAACTCATAATAACAACAACAAAAATATATAAAAAAATAAAAAATATATATTTTTTGATAAATCTTCTTTTTAAGTATTTTATTCTACTTAACTCATATTTTTTTTAAATATTTCATTAAGTCCTGTTTAATGTAATATAATTAAAAGGTTATTTGGGATGACCTAAATAATTGTACTTTTTAAATTTTTATAAAATATGGGTCAGATTTAAATTGGGTTTGAAGTGATGTGTTGAGAGGTGATGTGGCTTAAACAAGATAATGTGACTTAAATAGGATAGTGACTTTTTGACTTTTTTGAAACATGCCAAACCAGCCCTAAATCATCTTTTCTAATTCTTTACACATGTTTCTATTTTAAAACTAATACATTAGAATAGTCTCTCATCTTATGGAGAAAATCTCTCTCTCATTTTAAAAAGGAAATCTTTTACAAATTCCATGGAGACAATCTCTCCCTTATTTTAAGGAGAAAAGCTTTCCTCAATCGATGGAGAAAATCTCAAATTATGAATTTTGAACATTTTTATAATTTGAAAATTTAAAAAATAACGCAACAAAAAATCTGAATAAAAATCAAAATACAATGTGAATGTTCACAATAAATAACAAATATACAACCAACTTTTGAAAAAAACAAAACACATATTAAAGTACAATGTGAATGTTCACAATAAATTATAAACATATAAACTAACCTTCGAAAAAATAAAATTCATATCAAAATACAATATGAATGTTTACAATTTATAATTAACATACAACTAGCCTTAAAAAAAAAATTCATACCAATGTAAACATTTACACTACAATGTGAAAACATAAAACAAAATTGAATGTGAAAATCGACTATTTCAATTGTTCAATGATAATAAAAATGATTGTTCAACTAACAAGTATGGTAACAAAAATAACAAACATACAATTAACTTTCAAAAAAATAAAACTTATGCCAAAATACAACGTGAATGTTCACAATTTATAATTAATATACAACTAGTTTAAAAAAAATAAATTAATACCAATGTGAAAATTCACATTGCAATGTAAAAGCATAAAATAAAATTTAAAAAAGTGAAAATCGGCTATTTCAATTGTTCAATGGTAACAAAAATAATTGTCCAACCAACAAACATAGTAAAAAAATAACAAAATATAATTAACTTTCGAAAAAATTTGAAAAAAAAACTCATACCAAAATACAATATGAATGTTCACAGTTTACAATTAACATACAACTAATCTTAGAAAAACTAAATTCATACCAATGTGACACTCACACTACAACATGAAACAAAATTGAAAAAAAAAATGACCATTTCAATTGTTTAATAGTAACAAAAAATTATTGTTCAAACAACAAGTATAGCAACAAATAACCAATAATATGTAAATATTCACATCTTACATGTAACGCCCTCAAAATAACAACATTAAACCCATTAATATAGACATGCATTGATATACAAAGCTTCACATTCTTCTATTCATCAGAGTACTTCATTACAAAAATATTACACGTTAACAACAAAAGCAAATGCCCTATGGGCTTACAGCTTTCCAAGTTAACACTTGGTTACAAAAGAGAGTACTAACTCAATTACATATTAAGTCCTTGGCTTGAATTTACATGTAATACATCAAAGAAATAAGACAACAAAAGTGTGTCCGCCTCTAGCCTCCCAAGCTAAATCCTTGGAGGTGGCATGCTACCTGTACCTGAAAATGATATTCCCATAAAGGGTGAGCCACAGCCCAGTAGAAATACACTAAACCAAATATGGACAATGACTAAAAGATTAGCAATTGATAGATGGTCAACACTGATACTTTTCCTTATCACACTTTACAGTTTCATGACATACAAGTCCATGTTACAATCCATTTTCCAATTCCTTTCAATTCTCAATTTATAATCATGGCTCAGAACCTGGCCAAACAACTTATATGAGACAATAACTCATATTAAGAACTTTCCCATTTCACAATAGATAAGCATACTAGCTATATCACACATCAACAGATAAGCATACAAGTTATATCATCACTTCCACAGATATGCATAAAAGCACTATCACACTTCCAATGACAAGCATATGAGCTCTGTCAACACATTATTAGATAAGCATATGAGCTCTATCTATGGAGTCCATCCCCTATCTCCTCCCAACAACATCCGGTTTAGAGGTCCATCCCCTATCTTCCCCTAAACCGTGGAGTACATCCCCTATCTCCTCCAACACAACACAATGCATATAAACAATAATTATACACATCATCACACAACACATAAATTTAACGTGTTCTTTCAATAATTATACTCAATGACTCATTCCGGTGATTAGTTTCCATTTGCCTAATCATCATGCATTGTCTACAACAATCAAGACTATCCTCCACCGATAGCCCAAAGCAGTTATTTCTATACAGAAAATAAATGCAACAATGGATATATAATCAACATCAAACTAGGCGAGTGATAAATAATCCAACTACACCCTTTAATCCCATATCTTCCAAACCAATTTCTCATTCCCATAAAATTATGCAAATTAATTAACCAATGTAATTAGGGCATTTTCCATAATTAACATTACAACCCTTAGGTCCATTTTCATTAATGTTTAACATTAATTTCACTTTTTCCAGCCAAAATGCATCTAGGTTTTATATAGCCAAAGCCCCAACTTTTGTAAAAATTTACACCAAGGCCCCCAAACTTTCACAAAATCACCAAACCAACCCCAACATCTCAAAAACACTAAAAATTTAAAGACAAAGCCCATAGTGAGGAGTAGGTTATCCCTACCTCGAAGTTAGAGCTCGGATGGAGAAGAGACCAAAACCAACGTGCTCCAAAGACCAAGATTCTCGGATCAAAATGACGCCCTCGACGATCCACACAACTTTCACAAAGGCCGAAGAGAAGGAGGACACTCTAACTAGATCAAACCCTAGAGAGAAGGGAGTTTCTACAAAGAGAGGCTCTCAAAAATGGTTTTGGAAAAAGTAGGAGAGAGAAAGAAAAGCAAAAAGTGATTTAAAATCACCCAGCGGATAACTCATATACGTATGACCCGCTCGAGCGGAGAACACAACACTCTAGCGCCAAGAACAAAAATTTGGACACGCTCGAGCGCAATAAGGCCCGCTCGAGCGCCAAGACACAAGAATAAAGTATTTCCGCTCGAGCGCGAAAACCAGTCCGCTCGAGCGTAGATTTCTACCTCCCAGAATTTATACCCAGAAAGTACTACCCGCTCGAGCGCCGCCGCTCGAACGTAAACAAACCCGCTCGAGCGTAAAAATCACATCTGCAGAAGTTTTGCAGGAACACGAAATACTGGAGGTGTGCAATCACCGCTCGAGCGTAAGAAGACCCGCTCGAGCGGACCGCCTAAAAACTGAACAACAAGGAATTGAAACCAAGGCCTAACCAACCTGTAACAACCCTGCTCAAAACATCCTAAAACTCAATCAAGTGGAATTAAAGGACGACAACAAGATAGATACCACTACCAACTTCACGGAACCGAGTCCGGAATACAACAGAACAGTAAAGGGACAACCGGGATCGCTATATTACAAAATATGTAATTATGTCTATGTCTATATTTCAACACTTATTTCTCAGACTTTCAAACAATGTGAAATGTGAACATTCACACTGATTGACAACACACATACACACACACACAAAAAAAAAGAAAAAAAGAAAGAAACAACGGCAGCAATAAAGTTAGAAATCTAAAAAAAAACTCAATCACTCTAAAACACAAAAACAAAAAAATATCACCCACATCCTCGTCTTCATCATCATCTTTATCATTATCAATATCATTAACAATCCATGTAATTTCACCATTTCACCAATTCAGATTAAACCAAACCCACCTTTGAAGAATATGTTTGTAACAAAATTAACTATAGAGCTTCGACTTACAACAATGGAGAAACATCGAGTTTCAAACACAGAACAACATTGGACGAACACAGAACTTTGAACACAAAGTGACAATGGAGGAACACAAAGTTTCATTGCAGTAACGGAGGAACATAATATTATTTCATCACCATGTGTAAACTAGAGTTTAAACACTACCAAATAGAGAGTTTCAAAACCTTAGCACAATGAAACAATATCACAAATGTGAATGAAATTGATCAAAACGAAAATGTGAATAATTGTAACTACCAAATAAAGGTAGTAACAAAAAGAAAATGTATATATCTTTTTTCTATGTAATACATATCTATTGGCACCATAAATAAATAGTTTTATTATTAGTTATTATCTATATAATTGCAGGATA